CTTCCCCAGGTGGATGAGACGAAGAGTTTAGTATCCGCCACCGCCGCCGCCGCCGACGGCGCCGCCTCCGTAGCCTCCAGAGCCTCCATCGTCGCCGCCACCGTAGGATCCACCCACGCTGTAGCTGGACGAGACGGCGGCCGAGGCGCCACCTCCGTATCCGCCGGATCCGTATCCTTCGTTGCTGCCGCCGACATCTCCGCCGTATCCGCCCGCTGCCCCCTCGCTGCCTCCGTAGCCACCGGTTGCTGCACCGCCTCCGTAGCCGCCGGTTGCTGCGCCGCCTCCGAAACCGCCGCCGCCGCCGCCGCCTCCTCCGTACCCGCCAGTGACCACGGGTTTAGTTATGGTCGCCGGAAGGGTGGAGACGTAGCTGCTGCCGCCGCCCTCGTGGACGGTTCCCTTGTTGACGTAGCTGTGTCCCTCGTCGATGTGTTGGCTACTGGCCAGGCCTCCGTAGCTGCCTCCGAAGGTGGTCTTCCCTGGGACCTGCTGGACGACGTTCTGGGCCGCGTGGCTGTAGTGCCTCACCGTCTTGTGTCTCACCTCGACGGGCTTGTAGATCGGGGTCACCACGGGCTTCACGAGGATGGGGGTGGGCACCTTCACGATCTTGGTCGTGCTCGGGTGGATGTTCACGTGGCGGTGTTGCTGGTACAGGGGATAGATGCGGACGTGACGGTGGTTGTTGGTGATGGGAGTCACGTGGACGTGCTTGTGGTGGTGGTGTTGGTGTTGGTGCTTGGGGATGTAGTAGGGGATGGGGACCCGGATGGGAACGTGGATCACGGTCGGTTGAGCGTATTGGACTTCACCGCCTCCGTAGCCGCCGCCACCACCACCACCACCTCCAAAGCCCCCGGCGACGCCACCTCCAAAGCCGCCAGCGCCGCCACCTCCATAGCCGCCGCCGCCGCCGCCACCTCCGTAGCCGCCGCCGCCTCCTCCATAGCCGCCAGCGTCGCCACCTCCATAGCCACCGGCGTCGCCACCTCCGTAGCCGCCGCCCCCACTTCCACCGCCGCCGAGCTCGAGCCCTCCTCCGTATCCGCCGGCTGCGGCTCCGAGGGATTCACCACCAGCTTGGTATCCACCCGATTGAAACGAACCGCCGTATCCAGCGGACCCGTACGAGTCTCTTGGAGAGCGGACCGAGTTTTCGAGAATCTCCGCCGATGCTTCTTCCTCCGGCAAGGCAAAAGCCAGCCCCACGAGGGGAACCAGCAACTGGACGAAACAGCACAATAGAATTATTTTACTTTAGAAAATCGGCATCAAATAATGTTATTACGAGGGAAATTCCCGTTACAAAGTACCCACAATTCAGACCGAAAAAATTACAGTGGATCGCCCATAACGACCACCTCGCCCCTCTCCCTCTCCCCCCCTCGCATTTCACTTCCCCCATACATCCAAGCAGCCAACTCACCAGGATCTTCATGATCGAGTCGTAAGAACTGGAAGAGACGTCCGCTCCAAAGACACAAACGAAGCGAACTGAATCCCCCAGCCGCGGAGGTCGGTTTTAAATCCACCGGCTGGGACTTTCCCCACCAAGAATGCGCGCCCTCCCTCTCGCGGACTTTCATCACATCACATCGCATCACAGCCCATCGCGGCCCCGTCACAGCCCCGTCGGGTGCAGTGTGCCCCAGAACACGAAGCCCCTCCCACGCCGGCGATTTCCCTCGTTAGACCGAGTATTTGGGGTCAGTGATGCAACTTATATCAGAGGAATTTTGATGTTTATGCTCCTCTCTCTCTCTCTCTCTCTTTCTCTCTTTCTCTCTCTCTCTCTTTCTCTCTCTCTCGTCCTTGCATTTCAGACCAATTGCACATGCTGTCTTGTGAAAGGTTAGTATACATGATAGGAAAGCCATAAATTAAGTACTACTCCGGCCATCACCCGTCCAGCAGCCCTGTCTCGCAACCCAGACTCAGTCCCTTTTTGAGACCAACCCCGAGCGAAAGGTTTTCCCTCCCATCGATCCCTCAATTCTCGTTCCGAAGTCGTTTTACTGTCGTCTAGTCCATTAGGGAAACAAACGTAAATCGGGATTTAAATCTTTTAAAGTTATACTCGATAGAAAGTT